ACACTTGTCAGAACCACCTTAAATTACCTCACACACAGCACTGGCTTGCATAAGAATATGATGTAAACTTGTTTTTTAAAAGGCATCTTTGGTTTGCATTAAAACAACTTCAACACACGCAATGTTCTGATTGCACCACAAATGCAGTAGTTATCCTTACCTTTCACAGAGGCACTGAGTTTTATAAATATGAGCATGATAGTGTAGAATAATCATATTCAAGGACCAGTGGTGGGTTTCAAAAAATTTTGGAACCTCTTCTGTAGGTGTGGCCTGCTTTCCGGGTCCACTGGTGGAACCTCTTCTAACCGGTTCGGTAGATTTGACGAACCGGTTCTACCGAATAGGTGTGAACTGGTAGGAACCCACCTCTGCTTCTCTGCTGATTCACTATGAAAGGCTGAATTAATTGGCGTAGAGTCAACCCTTTAAACACATTTTTGCTGCCCCTCAGCATTCATTTCTCATTTTTGTCTTACTTTGCTAACTTGGGCAGGTAATATTTTAACTTGAATATCTTTTCCCAACAGGATGTCGAGTTGAATTATCTAGCTAAGATCACACATGGCTTCTCTGGTGCTGACCTCACCGAAATCTGTCAGCGTGCCTGCAAGCTTGCCATCCGTGAGGCTATCGAGATGGAGATCAAGGCAGAACGGGAACGCCAGCGTCAGAAGTGCGCTGCCATGGTATGGGCACAATATTTTCCCTTTTCCTTTGAAAACCAGACCTGATTCCTTCCCTTATCTCAAGCTCTCTCCTTCAGAATGTGTTCTCCACGCTATGGGGGGCACAGTGTGCCTGACAGCCTTTTCTTCTGTGTCTTATAACAGGATGATGATTATGACCCAGTGCCAGAGATCCGGCGGGATCACTTTGAAGAAGCAATGCGCTTTGCACGCCGTTCGGTTAGCGATAATGATATACGCAAATACGAGATGTTTGCTCAGACGTTACAGCAGAGTCGTGGCTTTGGCAACTTCAGGTAACGTTAGAAGAAGTTTGTGTTGCTTCTGTCCCCAAACAAATAAAGGTACCGCAGCATTGGGGAAGGGGGGGGAGAGACACATAGGGGAGTTGTACCCCTGACTTTTTCCCAAGAAGATCCATACAATTTCATTCATTAAATTTAGGCTGTATGAGAGACCCCAAAATCTATATACAAATGGCTGTGTGTGTGTGTGTGTGTGCGTGTGTGCGTGCGTGCGTGTGTGTTCGTTCGTTCCAGCATAACTCTGGAATGCCTCGAGCAATTGCTACCAAACTTGGTACACAGATGACTTACTCTCTGGAGAGAAATACTATGGGGGTAAGACACCCCTAACACCCCTCGGGGGGAGGTTGTTCTGTTAAGATGCAGCCTGTTGTGCCTTTAAATGGCATCTACTGTACTGCTGCAAAATGGCTTCTACTGTACAGCGCAATTGAGTTGTCATGGTACTTCACAGTATTCCACAAGGGAGCTCCCTCTGGTAAGGGGAAAAATCCAACATTAGAAATTATATTTGGTCTGGACATTTCCCCCCTATAAATAAATACTCGGGTAACCCTGGGCTATCCACTAGTAATTTATAAAATCCTATAGACAGAACAGGCAGAATCTGCAACAAAATGCAGCAGTGTGTAAAAGTGAAGTGATGATGTTAGCCATTTCAATCTCCTATTCCCACCTAATTTCCCTGAATGAAAGGTGGGGTATAAATCTACTTAAAGAAGAATAAAAAAAACATTATTTTTTAAAGAGGAATATAAATTTAATAAACACGTTGGTATGCTTGTGCAATACTAAACTGCATGGGATCCTCATTTTAAGAACCACATTCATCCATTTGATGTTGTGCTTTAAAAAAAATGCAATGCAGCATGCATCTGGGGGTGACTGCAGCCCTCTTATTAATCCACAGCCACATTCCTGAACAACTGGTTGCACTTGAACACTGTGATAATGTATAGCTAGTTCCAGTTAAGATGTCCATTGATCCAGTAGAGTGAATAACTCACGATTTCTCCTGAACTGAACCAGCCCTTCTCCCTCCCCCCCCAGGTTTCCAGCAGGCAAGCAGACCACTGGTGGAGATGGCAGCAGTGGCAGCAACAGCGGGCAAGGAAGCCTCTTCCAGGAGGAGGGGGAAGATGACCTCTATAACTGATTGTACGGGAAAACGCCCCCTTGTGGTGGGAGTGGATGGTCCTGTACGCTCATATTATTGTGCTCTTTAATGTAAGGACTGACTGATGCTTGAGGCCCTAAACCCTCTTTGGTTGCAGATCTGCGCTACTCAACACAAGAAAACCTCATGCTTCGTTTTGGTGGGTAATGTTGGGTGCCGCTTCTTTTTCTGTCTGGCTTGGCTGTGGCCAGGAATCCCTTGGTTTTTCCACTCTTGTTTTTTGTTTTGAAGATTAAAGCAGTACCTCTGGTAGTCAGAAGGGGGAGACAAAGCTTAAAAGCAGCTGTCATGAGAAAGCTCTCCATCAGACTGGTCCATCTGTTCTAGCATTTTGCTTTCCATAACAGTCAGGAAGCTGCCCGTTGAAGCTCAAGATGTGGGATTAAGGCTTCCCATATACCAGGCCTCTGCCCACAAATGCATCAGAATGCTTCACACCAGTGCCTGCTCTTGTATTGGCTTCCAATTTATAACAGAAGGGAATGGAGGATGGGCGGTTTTCCAACCTTGCTTGCAAGCCAGTCCAAACTGTTCCCTTTGACCCCTCTTAGCCCACAGCAAAGCCTTTGGACTAGTAAATAAGGTGGATTTCAACAAACTCTGGTCTGTGTTATTAGGTGACAAAGACTTCCGAATGTCCAATAAACTGAAAGCGCATGCATCTTGCACTAGGAGGAATTCTATGAAGGCTGCAGAGGGCAAAGCATGCTCAGGGGAGAGAGATATGGGCAAATTTATACAACATCCTTCCCTGGGTATAAAGACTGTCATCCCTCTGGCTATTTTCAAAGGATATGTCTGCACAGTTTCCTGTATCTCGCTGTCTACCTGCAACTGGGAATTCTTATTCTATTCTGGATGTTTTCCCTCTAACCTTGCCTCCAGATACTGCATATGGGCACTGCATAACGACACTGTGTATCTTGCACTTTCTGTAACCTGCCCGGCAGGGAATCTCCCACCACTGCTCCTTGTGTAGCTTTTCAAATAGTTTACAACTACCATACTGATTCTCACAGCAATTCCTCTTTCGCAACCTCTGGCACATTTCTAGCAGCTGCAGAGATTCAGACCACCACTAAATGGCAGTCGAGTAATACAGAATCACTAGTTTTTGCTGCCACCAGTTGTTGGTAGTTAAACAGTTAACTCATAGTTTCAAGGATTTTGTTTTAACATTCAATTGGTCGCTAGTACAACAGAAAAGCAAAAAATAGCGCATGGATTAACCAAAGTGTTGTGTGTGTAGCAATGGAATTTCAGCCAAGGCACCACCAAACATGGTCTTTAGAATGTTGCACACAAATAAATAATTTATTAAAAGGTCAATGGACAGAAGAGACCCCTTTCGGCTGCAGCTGTGTCACGTTGCCAGCACAGCCCACTTGATAGTACAGGAACATAGCAAAACAGCTGTGTGTTTACAAACATACTGAAGGGGAAGGTTGGTGGGGCAATACCCGGGGTGTAAATTGGTGTGGAAAACTTGAATCTGGAGCAACAGATCTCCATCTTCACCTCTTTTTTTCCCCCCCCCCAACTAATTCCCATAACGGTGACAATTTGCCTTCTGCTGTTTGATCCCACTTGTTTGCCAGCCAGGATTCTGGAAGCTTGATTTTTACATGCTCCAGCTGCCAGATGACAATAAGCAGCCACTGAATGAAAACAAAGCACATGGAACAATAAATGGGACCCCGAGGCTGACTAGATTAGTTGGGCTGGCACAGGCTGCTGACAGCAAGCATGTGCGAAACAAGTCAGAGACAGGGAAGAACATAAAGCATGAAGGGCCAGAATGCCCCACTGAAGTGCTTCATTGTGGAGTGCCTGGTGCTGATTAAGGGTTCCCACAGGGCAGGGCTATGTCACAGCTCAATGCCCCTACAGATCAATCATTTCAGGGCTTTCTCCCATTGTCCTTGCTCTGCTCTTCACAGCTTCCCAGAGCTTGGAGTAGAGCAGCAGACTGAGGCATCCCCCTTGCAGTCTGTGAGTCAGCCCCACCAGTTCCCCAACGATGTTATTTTGCTGGATCATCGGCAACCATTTGTTGGAATCCATCCTAGGACAGAACTGCTGAGAATCTCTTCTATGAGTAAACAATGCTGTGGGTCTATTTACTCTTTTGAAAGGCGCTTTCTTCCTTAACATTCTTGAGTTTCGGAGGCCCCATGAGATCACATTTTCAACCTTTTTTTAAAAAAAATCTCTCCACGATGCCCATGAAAGGGCTCTCTAGAATTTTTACATTCATGTTTAAATTAAAGGCCATCCTGAACCCTGAAGTCCATGCCTTTGTTTTCTCCACTGCAACTGCTGCGCGATCTGTATGTGATGGTGAGACGAAGTGATATTTTGCGTCAGATTCCTTGTGTAGAAGCGCAGCAAATTTTAGACCCATTCAATTCCTTTACACGCTGCAGTAATGCAGCTGCCTCAACACTATGGAAAATCTGCATCATAGGCTCCCAAGAATCCAGGTCATTTCTGGCAGACATGTTAAATATACCTGTCTTGACTTGAATGGCTACTCTCTGGCTAGAGAAGTGCAGCAGGATGCTGATCTTCCTGAACTGAGTATCCAAGGAAGGAGGCTACCTGGGATGTCTTCTTGCCCAGATTTTAAACTCTTTGAGAAGTTGCTATTGCACTATGCAAGAAAGTCATAGATGGCATTATTCAGCTTTGGAATATAGCATGAATAATTGGCCAGGCTGTTCATTGTGCGCAGTATCAGGAAGGACATAATGGCTTTCAAAATGCATTAAATCATCGTTTTCCTATCAAAACATACTGGCCTGCTTTCCTTTACCTGGTCAAGAACTGTCTTCTTTTGATACGGATGACTATCTGAGAGCAGACATAGTTCTCACTTCCGCTTTACAGGAAGTATCAGGAATGTATAGTGTATTCTTTACCATTGAGCAAAGGTCTCATCCATAGGTGTTCAATAGAAACCACCATGATATCAAAATTAATTCACGAGCATCGTGATTTTTCATTTGCATTGTGATATATTTATTCTCCCTCACCCTTTCTGTGGATGCCCTTGACTAACCCCCAAAAACTGTCATCATTATATCTTCCAAGAAGGTCATGCATCTCTTGCTCTCCCTCTCATATGAAAGTCAGAAACGGGCAAGAGGCTGTTTCAAAATACTGAGCTTCTTATTTGCTGCCATGATTCGAAACCAATTTATCTGTGGCATTCCCTATACCAGCTGCCGCCACCAAGATTGCTAGATTCTGAATTCCAGGAAGGTTCAAAGTGCTTTCAAGTCGATCAATTCTTGTTTGCTGCACCCAATGCTAGATGCGACCAGCAGCAACACTGCGCTCGGAGCTCTGGAAGGAGCTGGCCTCCCAGCGGTCAAAATGTATTGTTTTGAGGTCGGGGCGCCTTAGAAATAGAGCCAGGAGCTTACGCAGCACTGCGCGTCGCAGCAATATATATACCCATGGGTCCAGGATCTGGTTCCAGGCAGCCATGCGCACACCAAGGAACAGCAGCCGATCATAATTCAAAGCTTTATGAGAGTTGCTTGCTGATAAGATGACTATGACCTGGAGACAGTACAGAGAAAAAGCAGCAATGTGACATCAGCACATGAGAGAACAAGATATCGAGACAGTGGCTTTCTCTGTTCTCCTCCCCAGTGACCCTAAGAACTTAGAAACAGGTATTAAGTCTGTGTACACATTAGCTCGGCCCACATCTTAAATACACCATTCACAACCAGCCCTTTATTTGTGTGCTGATAAAGAGCTTCTCAGAGTCAATTGAGTGATTGCGTAGTACATTCTTTGGGCTATTATACCCAAGCATAATGTCAATTTGATTCAAACTTTTAACCTCAAGAATTTTTCCAGTTAAGAGTTATTTTCCCTCTAATCAAACAGTTTCTGACATAATCAAAAGAACTGTGTTTTGTATGAACATATTTCCAAGAATCTCCCTAACACGCAAGGGCTTCTTATTCTAAGTTTACTCAATCTGATGCTCTCCGTATATTTTAATGTAATTTTTAGCCCTAGAACCACCATAGCCCTTTAAAATAGACCAGGCCAGGAAACAAAAATCATGCAGATGAGTACTACATTCACTGTACAGTTATAACAACAATTTTTTCCAAATCTGAACATAGTTCCCCTCTCACTCCGACGTTATTGTGAACTGGGGCAGGGGGGTGTTGTTGTTTGATACATGCCCACTTTCCACTTATTTTGTGCCTCAAAATATATGCTAACCACCCTACATATTCCCATCCCATTGCCCCATTTCTGCTTTTTTGTACTCACCAATAATGGACTCCAACAAATACAGGAGACCACCATGATGCCCACAAGCTGTACAACCATTTCAATGTCATGAGCTTTGGCTCTCCGCCGACCACATTTGCGCTGACTACGGAGACGAGCTCGCACCAGAATGAGTCCACTGAATGTGTTGCAGATGAGAGAGGCCACCAGAGAGGCCAATCCCAAAAGGGAGAAGAGCAGGGCAAAAGCTACCTCGGTCCATTCTTCTGTCTTTTGCACCTTGATAAAACACCAAGTGCTTTGGGCCTGCACAGCGTATTTCCCAAAACTGCAGAGAGGCAACAGGGCAATGGCAAGAGCAATGGTCCACAGTCCTACCAAGGAGAGCTTCGTTCGGCCTGGCGTGACCACTGCAGCATGAAGCAGAGGACGAGTGATGCCAATGCAGCGCTCCACGGCCATGATGAAGCCCAGAAAGAGAGGGCATAGTCCAAAGAATACCATGGAAGCACCAAAGAACTTGCAGAGAGCTTCAGAGGGATCCATTGATGTCCAATTTCGCCGTGTGGCATACAGTTGCAACACAAAGGACCCTGGGATGACATGGCCTGCTAGGTCTGTGATAACCAAGCTGCTGGCAAAAAGCAGGAATGTGGCCTTGGAACGACGACGGAAGCGGGCATAGGACTGCACTAGGATTACCAAGGCTACGATATTAGAGATTGCCCCCAAGGTCATGGAGAAGATGGGGGCAGCAGGAGAAGAAGCACTCGAAGCCTTCACCAGCTCTGTATGAGCTAAGGAGGAATTGTTCACTGGGTGAATGGCAGGTGCTTGAGAAGCATTGGGAGGGTGCATAGCAAACATCCTGTCAACAGCTGCTTCCAGGCTCAGGCATCTGCAAGAGAGGGGGGTTGAGAAAGAGGATTATTAGACCCCCCCATTTCTGTCCATGAGAGCCGACTCTTCCCTACTTGCTCCCAGCCACCAGCTCCTGTCAAACCCAAAGACAAGAGAAGCCAGTTTTCTGTACGAACTCCATCATATTTGATATAACTTCTCTTAGCTTCTCCTTTAGTCTTGTCCTGACTGGCTGACTTCTCTTCTACTTTTAAAAATATTTTCTGAAATTTACAACCTGATTTGAATTACATGATTCATCATAGAACCAACATATATAGTTTTAATGAGGAGGAGAACCAACAGAAATATGGGGAAAGGAAGTAAGGCTTACATGAACAAGTAGTTAAGTAAATTCTTTTTAAATAGTGAAGGGGACTTTTCTGTCTATGGTTTAAAATCCACAGGGCCTTAACCTAGGCACTTCTCCTTCAACCAAAATATCAACTCAGACTGAATATTAACAATGCAGTCACTTTCCTGGAATTAAGGCCCATTTACCTCAAGGTAGTTCACATCTAGCTAAGCAAAAGTACAACGGGGCAGCTATCTCGGGCAGAGTTTGGCTACAGGTAGCCCTATGACTTACAAGAGTTCATTTAATCATCATTCAAAGTTACCACAGCCCTGGGAAAAGTCACTAGTTACTTCCCCTCCCCCCTGCACTTACGACCATTGCATCACTCCCCATGATCACTTGATCATAATTCAGATGCTTGGCCACTGACTCATATTTATGGTGGTTGCAGTGCAGTCACCTTTTGTAAACTGACAAGCAGAGTCAATGGGGAAGCCAGATTGACTTAACCACCATGTTACTAATTTAGCAGCTGCAGTGATTCAGTTAACAACTGTGGCAAGAAAGGTCATAAAATGGAGAAAAACTGTCTCAGTTAGCAACAGAAATTTTGGGCTCAATTGTGATCTAAGTCAAGGTCTACTTGTGTCACAAAGGAAACTTATTTAATGTACTGTTATATTTCTACAGCTTGTGATCTGTTGCCTCGTGGACTAGAGTAACGTCTCCCACTCTGATTAAGATGACTGTTGATTTGGTGCTAATCGGGTATCTGTTAACATCTCTTCAGCCACACACACAGGATTGCCTTATTGGGGTCCTTCCAAATGGCAAAGATAAAATATCTTCACAATGTACTTTATTTTTAGTACTAGCAAGGAACTTGAGAACAATTTTGCAATACTGTGAAAGAAAGTTTAAGATTAAGGATATTTTACAATAGTGACAAACAGGTAAGAGAGCTATAAGGGGTAAACAGAACTAAAAATGGAAAAGTGTCATATTTAATATTTTATAACAAGTTCTTTTTTTAATTCATAATTACATTGTTCTGTCATTTTCTTTGAACATATAGAGATTTGAAATTTACAGCATAGACATGTCTAATTTAATTTTACCAACACAATAAATATTCCAACTCGTGTTTTAGGTTACAGAAGTCATTGTGAAATTTAAGAAAGAACAAGCTGATGAGAAAAAATTGGGCTTATTTCTGAGAAACAAGCATCTATGTTACAAATAGCATATATAATACTAAATGTTCCTCAAATAATGTCAACAAGCTTCTCTGTCTTCCAGATCTTTATAATAAACAAAATAATAGGGATTGACGAAAATATCTATTGTATCATATGGAGCAATTACTCAGGTTTTACACTATTTACAAAAACCAGGATAATAGCTTTATGTCATTCCTATAGATTTAAGTCTAATCCAAAAGTTAATCTGACGCCACAATGTTATTGTAAATTTACTTAGATCAAGTTCAAAAAGCTTACTCTTTGATTATGTATATAGAGGATTCTTGCCAAATTGCTAATATGTCCTGCCTTCCAACTTACATTAACATTTCTATATTCTCTGACCCAAGACATTGCAACTGGATTTACTTCAGAGTAAAAAAAAAAGTCAAGTTCAACTCCTGTTGACATCATGGGTGTATCTCTAGTTTTCACGGTAAAAATTTGGATGTGGTTTGCCATTAGTGGCTTCTGTTTGTTTGCTAATTCATTGGTTTTTTAAAGTCTTTTGGGACCTTGAATTTCATGATAAACTCCCACTGGTATTCACCAGAACTGATTATCAATTACAAGCTCCCTAGATATGCAAAAGTGCTGAAATTTATACAAACACCACAACTGCAGTATTATTATCATGTTGAATTTTTTCTTCCCTTCCAATTACTGTCCTGTATAACAATCACTTTGAAAAACCCTGAAAGATTATTTCTATTTTGTAGCATTTTTATTAATGTTAATACACATATTACTATATCATGCCTTTTAAAATGTCCTTGCACAAGCCAACAAAGAAATCTTTCACTTATGTATAGTTGGCAAGAGAAGCAAATCCTTCTGATGTTGGATAATGGTCTAAATTCATTTGGTAAAACCAGAAGCAAATTGTGTTAGTCTATAGCTATCTTGTTCACTTGCAGCAGGAGTGCGTGTTTAAATAAGCATATCTCTTGTATTTATCATAGGTACTGCAACTGGATTGCTCCATTAAAAAAAATATATTGTCTAGCAACAGTAACCTGGGGTTATATTCAAAATCAGATGATACAATTATAACTTCCCATGTTTTTCACTGCCCCTATAGACAAACAGAATCTGGGAAGATAAATTGTACCATTCACCTCTTAATATCCTCTAATTGTCTCACTGCAGACGTTGAAGATAGCCATTTTTCACTCTTTCTATACATGTTCTTTTGAAATTGGAACTAGACTCTTACAAACTCTGCTTTCCTGTGGTTTGATTTGAGAAAAATCAGATTTAATCCATATTAGGGGGCGTGAATTCATGATCCAGAAGGTGGAAAGCTATTTAATTTTATTTTAATGGTAGGTGTGGAGCATTAATAACTTATAAAACTGAAGAACTGCAATGCTTAATTCACTGATAAATTCATCAGTTAAAATGTTAAAACTTTTTGATAACACAAAAAGTTATCTGAAAATCATTAATGTATTGCTAAACATCATACAGGGAAGCATTTAGTTTAAAAGTCAATTGTCTTCCTCCACATTGTTAGAAGGAAAGACTTTTTCAGAAAATAGTTCTTGCCACAACTTACAGCGGTATTAAAGCAACATAAGCATCTAGGAAATAAAAAATCTACAAGTCTAATCAATCAAATACATTTTATATTATTCGATTTTAATTGGATACACCCACACACCAATGTTGTACAGGAGTAAATAAGTTGTTAGATTCACAATACTCTTATGATATTCTTGTACCAGTTGTGCCCTTTGGCTGTCTTGCTTTTCAGCTAAATAAAACCCCACTCCCCACACCTACACATTCAAATGCCCCATTGGCTTTTGGAGGTTACAGAGCCTGAAGTACAATACAGCTGTTTAGGCGAATTGGAACTATGTTCTAAAGTACTTACAAACTATTAAGTGGTATTTCACCACTGTATTCACGACTTGAACCAGGGCATGTGACAGAAGGCAAGGAATAAGTGCCTCCTGGGAAGACAGATCAGGGAATAAAATAATGTCGGGTTGGGTTAAAACGTCACTCCAACAGGTGAGGAGTATTTGGGGATAGACGCCTCACACCTCTATTAGAAGCGCTTCCGAATGACAAATGTTTCGCCCATTTACTGGGATTCTTAGAATTAACAGTTCCTGATAATACTTACAAGAAAGAGGGTCGCTGTTTTGCTTCCCTTCAGGACTTTCTGGATACTTTTTTTACGGAATAGTAAAACCCAAACAATTCCAGCTCCTGCCTTCTTTTACATTTTTTCTCCCCCAGAACGGCACCGATTCTTCTGGGTGCTTCCATCCCCTAAAGCAAGCAAGTCACTCGGAAAGCATCTCAACTTCGCCAACACCAAATATCTCCTCCAGTAATATTCTTCGCCCAGCAAGAGCGCACCACGGAAGACTGTCCTGGCCGGAGATCTAAGACCGCCCGTTTCTCCCAATAAACTTTTTGGCCACCGCAACTAATTGGATGCGTTTAGCAGCCACTACGCCAGCCGTCCACCCCGAGCATACCTGGGGCCGCCGCTCCCTTCCTTTCCTCCAAGTCCCGGTTCCCTCTCCTCGTCCCAAGGAAACTGGTGGAAGAGTTGATGGAGCTCCTGGGAGCCTGATTCCCCTTTGGCTCCCAGCGCATTGTTCCCTTGCAGCCTCTGTGGAAAGGCGGCCGCCTCCGTCGGGGTTCCCCAAATTCAGAGGGAATGGAGCGGGGCTTCACTACACCCGACTTCGCCTCACCCTTTCTGGCTCTGCCTCCGGAGACAGGGGGCACGGCCGCCGTCAGCACTAGGGGGCGCTCTGAACTTCCCTTCTTCCCCCTCCTCCTCCGACGATGCGGCAGCCTTCCAAAGAAGGCTTTCTTCCTCAGGGCCGGACTTCTCCCGCACCCCGTCCGCCACACTCTGCAGGGAAAGTTTTCTCCTTCATCCTCCGCTACGAGCCATCCTCACCGTCGGGAAAGTAGCGGACCCTCTGCAAACAACTCAGCTTGGTAGTCCGGGATTGGGCGCGGGTCTGTGTGAAGCTTTCAGTTCTCTTTAGCTACACGGATTGCGCAGGGGAATCTTTCCCACGGAGCTTTGAATTCTCCGCCCGAATATATCTTGCTCTCTGTGGTCCCAAAATTGCTTTTTGTTCTTACCACAAAAGGCCTCTGCGTCGGAAGCAGTGTTGGGAGAGGTACTGCTTTTCCTTCCAGAGAGTTGCGGGGGTGGGCGACACACCTCCTTAAAGAGAGAGGCTAAGGGAATGCCCATTAAACAATAGCATGCAGGTAGTCCTTGACTTACGACCACAATGGAGGCCAAAATTTGTGTGGCTAAGTGAAACATTGGTTAAGTGAGTGGGCCCTATTTTACGACCTTGCATGCCACAGTTATTAAGTGAATCGCTGTTAAATTAGTCAAACTGTTGTTAAGTGAATCCCGTTTCCCCATTGCCAGAAGGTTGCAAAAGGGGATCATGTTACCCGGGACGCAGCAACCGTCATAAACATGAGTCAGTTGCCAAGGGTTTGAATTTTGATCCCACGATCATGGGGACACTACAATGGTCATTAGTGTGAAAACTGGTCATAAGTAAGTGCTATTGTAACTTTGAATGGTCACTAAACTGTTGTAAGTCGAGGACTACCTGTATTTGCCCTTCTTCATGTTTCAGCAGCTCTGCAACTCAGTTTTAAGGGCCAAAGACGTGGGACAGTTTGGTATACCTCTGTACCTTTAGGGAGGTGTATGGGGGCCAAGAGCCATCGAACATTTGGAAGGAATTTGGGTGGGTGGGGGGACTAAGAGAGTGAAATCATAGGATACAAATTTGTAAGATTTTGGAGGTCAACAGCAGTTTTCCTTTTTAAAAAGGTGGGAAATTGCCTCTGGCTTTCAGCTTCCATTATGATCCACATTATTATCATCCACACCCAATACTGTACATTATGCCGTCATGTAGTTTATTGGAGTTTGCTTTGTATGTTACAGGAGTCTAATCAGTTGGAGTTTACTTAAGAAACTATAGTTAGACACACCATGCTATATGTGAACCCAGCCATTATAGCAGTGGTTCTCAACCTGTGGGTCGGGACCCCTTTTGGGGGTCGAACGACCCTTTCACAGGGGTTGCCTAAGACCATCGGAAAACACATATTTTCAATGGTCTTAGAAACCGAGACACCAATCTTATAGTTGGGGGTCACAACATGAGGAACTGTATTAAAGGGTCGTGGCATTGGGAAGGTTGAAAACCACAGCCTTATAGGGTCTGCTCATATCATTATTACAGTATCCCTCAAATAATATTTTAAAAAGCTTGTTTGGATACTTTTTTCCTTTCAATTCAGCTTTGTAGTAATCTGTTGAGCAAAGGGCGGGGGGAAACGGCTTTCTCAGAATCCAATTCATTGGCAGTTTTAAATGGTGTCTAACAATGTTTTACTTAGATTTGATAAAATAGGTAGGAAAATATTTGCCATTATGAAAATTTAGATTTTTACACTGGTAAAAATCATTTGTCCTACAGCACATCTGAGCAGGGGATGCGTGTTGTTCTATTGAAAGGTAAGGAATCTTGGTTTTTGTGAAGACGGCATAAGAAGCTAGATGGAGGCTCCATTTCCACAAAAGGTTTCCCGGAACAAGGGATTATGAAATCCTCAGGGTTATGAAGAGGGAAGAGTTATGAAAATTTGTTGCAGCACTTACCTAATAGCTCAAAAAGTTGCTCAGATTAAAGAAAGCACTTTAGAAAGCACTTCTTAACATGTGCAACCCTTTATAGAGTCCAAGTTGTCTGTATGGAATCCTTTGATAGTTTTGTAGAATCCTTAACACAGACCTGCCTCCCCTCCAAATCTGGGATATAGGAAAATAAAACAGCAAAAAATCTTCAAGTCAGTGTTTATTGTGCATAGTACGGTATGAAGGAGAAAAGACCTATCATCCAGAGCCTTGCTTGGGCGATGAGGTAGAGAGAGCAGAAAGCATTAGCCAGTAACAAACCTACCAAACCTGTTGCCCATTGGCAGGCAGTAATGAAGCAAGAGATTGGACATATGTCTTCTTCCATTGTAGTAGAACAGAAAAGCAGGCCTTAATTCTTGGGACACAGTCAAGCTAATTGCTCGACTGGGAAGCAGAGGTAAAGAAGCAAAAGGCTGGAAACCTCAATGCTTTTTGTTTCTTCTTCTTCTAGTTCCTAAGGGTCAGTGTAGATTACAGGAAGGAAGCCTAATGAGCATGGATTTGGGTAAACCACAGCATGAGAACAAACAAGACAGGAAGTCCCTAGCATCAATTTCTCGCTGTGACACTGCTCAGAATTCAGGGAAGGATTGCAGGTAGCAGCAAAGAATATAGCTTTTAAAGCAGCTGTTGGCACAAGTGACTCACACATGACAGAAACACCTGGGCTCTTCTTTAAAGGACAAGTAAGTTTTGGTTTTGGTTTAGGGGAGAATCTTCAAGTCAGTGTTGACTCCTGGCGACTGCATGGATAAGTCCCTGCATTTTTCAATGGCAAGATTTTGGAAGTGGTTTACCGTTGCTTCTTTCCTAGGGCTAAGAGAGAATGATTGGTTCAAGATTGGTCCAGTTGGCTTCATGCCTAAGGCAGGTCTAGAACTCACACTCTCCCAGTTTCTACCTTATGCCATTACCACCACACTCAGCTGGTTCTCTAAAAATGTTTTACAGCTGAATTTCTTATCTAGGATAACAGCAAGACTGTTTTAAAAGTGGGGGGACAGGTAAAATGAGGGAGAAATAAAATACAAGCCATGTTTCCTCTAATGATTATATTTGTCTTGCGGTTGCTATACTAGCAAAACGATGGCTGAATTACTTTGAAAGATGCTGTGTGACTAATGAGAACATTAAATTTTGACTAAACAAAATTTCAGCTACAAAAACAAAAGGCTGTCTGTCTATCTGTCTGCTTCACTCTCTTTGAGTCACTATTTATTACCTGGACAAGTCTTTGCAGTTTCCTTAGCAGAATTTTGGAAGTGGCTTGCCATGGCCTGCTTCCTATGGCTGGGAGAGTGACTACTGTATATAGTCTATGGGGAAAAAAGGCTCCTGCAATCATATCTGGGCAGCAGAAATCCAGATGACCACAAGATGGCAACAAACAAATACTAAAACCACTTGCTGCCATTTAGAAGCTGTGTATAACTTTTGCCAAATGTGATAGGCATCATCAAGGCCCTGCCGACTTCTAAGCACAAAGCAACTCTAATGCTCTCTAACCAACTGCAGTAATTGCCTGCTACCCCAGGTTTCAGGAAAGATAAGATGATAGAGTAACATCCAGTAACCAGAAAGTCGAGGGTCATGCTTCCTTGGGCTATTGAATTGGAGTTCTTCCACCAACTGCGTAAATCAAATGAAGTGTAAATTTGCATGACATGAAATTAAATGAGGCCCACAATACTCTAGTTAACTGCTCTTGTGGCCATGCTTCACTCAGGGATATTGCTGTGCTGCAGGCGAGTTGCCATGTTGTTGAAGACAATATCTTTTTTAAATGAATACGAATAAGCAAAGGAGGCCCGGCTTAGGAAGACCACACATCCAGAAAGGAATTAAATTCTTCAATCCTGTGGTCATGAAAACTGCATGGATTTCAGGGTATGTTATCACCAGGATCTGAGCCTGAAGGGGACTTTACCATAATAGCAGAGCTAAAAGAGCTATCCCAGTTCAGGTCTCATTCCAGCCATCAATTCAATACATGACCTTAAGGCCCCTCCTCTGCAATTCTTTGTGAATAACTGTGATTCACTTCAGTTAAACTTATACTGCTGCATAAAATGTCCACTTTCCTTTGCCCAGATTTCTACGTGTTATGCTAATTTATTGGCTTTGGTTCCTTGTTCCATTCAATTTGACTCTGTAGTTTTTGTCTCCAAATCTTCTTTTTTCTCGATTTGTCCTGCTTTCCTGAACCATTCTTCTTAGGTAAGCCTTAGGCTTACTCCTTTTATGTCCCATATAGAAATTACCATGTCAGGCATCTTTTTAAACATTATTGCTTAATATGGCAATTATGACTACCTTATTGCATAAGGAAGTACAGCCCAGCGAACCCAGGAGGTCCTTCTTACTAGACATGCTCTGGATAATCACCTTGAAAAATAAATTGGAAAATGTTAATCTGAAGAAAAACTCTGGCGGCTCTTGGGATGAGTCACCGGCTCCTGGTAGCAGGGAGTCTTGCCTAAGAATAACCATTCCTCACTGCGGGATGTAGCGAATTCCCAGCAGTGCTGGCATAGGCTTTCTCTGACAAGAACCATTGCTTCCAAAGGCGCTCCAGTGTTCTTGAGTGAAGAAGCTCTTGGCTGTAGCAACCTTTGCGCAACCTTTGCGCAACATTTCCTCTTCCCAATTGGAGCTCTGCAGATGGCTGCCCTGCCCACTTTTTCATCAGAAGCTACAGTCCTTCATGGCCCCATTAGTGATAATGAAGCCATAACTGCTGAGTGCTTTAATAATGAGATTGTGGTTAGTTGTGGAAGCCTCTAGGGTGGATTCCCAGCAGCAGCTATCCTCTTCCTTTTCTG